ATGAAAAAGAAGCAAAACAACAAGAAGAAAAGATTGAAAAACTGAAAGCCGAAGATGGTGAAAATTATGCTATTAAAAAGCAGGCGGAGATCCTGCAAGAGTCCCGCATGATGATCCCAGATTGCCAGCGCAGGTTGGAAGCTGCATACAGTGACCTTCTGCAATTATTAGAGAGTGAAAAAGACTTGGAAGAAGCTGTGGAATATAAGGAGGCACGTGTAGTACTGGATTCAGTGAAGTTAGAAGCCTGAAGTTTTTCTGTACAGGGTGTTTTTGCATTAAATCCTGGGATCCATTCCACAATTCATTATTTTTGACCACTGCTGTGTGTTCAGGTAGTATGAGAATGTGATTCTTCTTATGCAGTGCATATATTTTTCTTTGCCTAATTTAATGTGTCAAATAAATGAGTTCATCTAAAAAAAAAAAAGAATATGAAGTAAGGAATGAAGTAAATTGCTTAAGGTCACTCAGCTGGTCACAGGCTGCGCTGGGGGTGGGGGTTGGGAGGCACTGTCAGCTCTGGCCCACACCACAGCTCGCTTTGAGCCAGGATGCCTGGATGGCTGTGCTCTTGGTGCTGCAGCAAGGAAGGGAACAAAGTCCTCAATGAGCAAGAGGAAATACTCAGACAACAGCAAAAAAGGAGAGGGAGAAGGTAACAAAACCCAACCCACCAGTAACAAAAGGCTTCTGTGTTAGGGCAGAACAGGGACAAAGCAAGAGAGAACTAAGAGAATGTGGGTGGCGTCTCTGGGCTCCGTGGTGTGGGGAGTCCAGTGGAATGAGGAAGCTGTAATCTCAGACTGGAGCCGGGCTTCAGCTCAGGCAGGAAGGTAAAGGGGGTGCTCCCAGAAGCTATTTAGGAGTCCAGCTGTTAACTTACAGTGTAACAGACTAGCATAGTGATTAAGAACACAGAATCTGGTGGAGGTAGCAAGACAGGGGAAGGGGGTGAAAAGGTACAAAATGCCACTTATATAAAAAAATTAATCCTGGGGCTGTAATATATAGGATGGTGCCTATAATAATAATACTGTCTTGTATATCTGAAGGTCGCTTTAGAGTAAATCTTCAGTGTTCTCATCGTAAGAAAAAACTGTTTATTAACTATGTGTGCTGATGGATGTTAACTAGACTTTCTGTGGTGATCATTTTGCAATATATACAAATATCAGATCATTATGTTGTATACCAGAAACAAATGCAATGTTATAGGTCAATTACACCTCAATTTGAAAAGAAAGTCTAACAACAGGGAAATAGTACAATAAATTATGATGCATTGGAATATTATACAACCAGTAAAAAGTAATGCCTTTGGACACTATATCATGACAATGATAATGACAGCCAATATTTCTTACTTGAGCATTTATTCTGTACCAAATATTATTCTTTATGTATATTATATACCATATATATATTACAATAAATAATGATAACATTTTTTAAAAAGAACACAGAAGCTAGAGCCAGACTGCCTGGATTTGAGTCCTGGCCCTACCACTTATAACAAATTATTTAGCCTTTTTATGCCTCAGTTTCCCTACTATAAAAAAGGGGTGATGATAAGGGTCCCTATCTTATAGAGTTGTTTAGATTAAATGAGTTAACATTTGTAAGATGATTAGAATAATACCTGGCATAAAGTAAATACATCTAAGTGTTTGACTGAAAATCAAGTAAGATAAAAGAGGGGATACAGGGAACCAGAATATGCCATGCCAAAATACGCCACTCGGGCATAAGGGGTAGAGGTAAAGAGAATCAATGGATGAAGAAAGAAGCTTTCCTGGAACTTCCCTTGCCTGACTAAAAGCAGACATCTGTGGAAAATGAAGACTGCCAGAAATCCCCTTTCCCAGGAAAGTTCTCTGGCCAAGGTGGACGTGGACACTCGCTAACAAACCTTACTCCGTTAGAGCCCCACATGTTTACCTTCCCGCCGTCTGCCACCCTTGAAAGCCTGAAACCCTTTTCCCTTGTCTCATCACTTCTCTACAAACGTACAATTCTTCTGTTAAGATGCTACATGAGCCCACGTTCCAGCCACCCCTCTGAGTTACCCTTCATTGAGGTTTCTCTCACGTGACATGTACTGGACACATTAACAAACTCTTTGTTTTTCTCATTAATCTTCTGTCACTCTAAGTTTACAGGGTCCCCAGGGGAGAATCTAGGCGGGTACAAGGGAAAACAATTTTCCTCCCCAAGGGACGACGGGAAGGCTTCAAAGGGTGACAGAGGAGAGGAAGTATGAGGATCTCTGCCTCCGGGGGCCTGCACGGAGGCAGCTCAGGTGACAGAGGCTCTAATGGCCCTCCGAGGAGCAGGGCTGTGAGTCAAGACACTCTGAGTGGGGAGAAGAGTTCATCTTTGCTTAGTGCTAAACGGTGTGTGACTGAGGTGTTCTGGTATCTCTGAAGACAGCTTAGCCGAGGCCATGAAGGGGGAGGGTCAGCAGGCTGCTGGGAAGCCCACCAGCCTGTGATGGTCAGAAGTCCATGAGTAGAGCAGCTGAGAAAGGCTCAAAGATAACAGCAAATGAATCTTCACAAGGAGCAGAAACACAAGGCATACACTTTCCATCTTTTGGGGGACATGACAGGCAAAATAAGAGAACGAGTAATGTTCAAATGAACATCCCAAAACATCCTTTCATTTTTCCTTTTATGAGATAAATGCACTTCGAATCTTTTATCATGCTAACCAAGGGCACTTTTCTCATTTAAAAAAAAAGATTTGCAAGGACTATTATAATTCCAGCAGGCTAAATTTTTAGCAATTCCTCAATCTAATACACTTCTTAACAAAATTACATTTCACTAAAAAAAAAAGAATGAAATTACATATTCATTTCAATGCAAGAAGCTTTCAGTGCAATTTTGTCACTGTAAAATGTGGAGAAATAACATGTAAGTGCATAATTTTCAAATACCTCTTTAGCTCTATGAGCTATTGTGTAATGCTAGAAAAGGAGAAGGAGCTGTTTTATTCTGGAAAAACAGGATCACTCAAGGTCAAGGCAGGAAGCTGAGACACAGGGTCTCGGATGCCATATAGCTTACCAGCTCCCTTCAGCAGCTACCGTCATAAACCTACACGTACATGGTGCACAAAGACGGGCTTGGTCTCTTCAGCCCACCAGCATCTACCAAAAATCACAGTTAGTAGTTCTTCAGTTCAAACTAGTTCAAAATGCATAATAATTTTCTTCAATTTTATACATTAATCCTAAATTACTCTTCATCCTGCAAACTTTCAGTAATGAGTTCAAATATTAGTATCTAAAATTTAGTCCTTTTTTCTATCCACTGGAATATTTTAAGAATTGGTTTAACTTGAAAATTGAAAAACCATGAAAACTGATCAGAATATTCATAAACTCTAATTTTCAAGTTAGTTTCACTTCATAATATGTACTTGAACTTTTTCATCAACACTTCAATAATTAAATATATGTTCTTTAACAATTCTGCTGCTTTCCATTACGTCAGACTAGCTCTGCCTCCATTATTTTGAACAAATAAGATTTTAATATTCTTGTGTAAGTAAAACTGAGCAGAACCCTGCGGGTCCCCCACAAGGATAAGGGCACCAGAGGGGAAAAGCTAACTACACGATGATCCGACTATAGTCATAATATAAGCTGCTTCATCTTGAGCAGTAGTGAATGACAGCTAGCACAATTCCAAGGCCCGGCCACAACAGAATGGGTTTAACACCACTGCCCATCATAATCTGATCTTTGTGGGCATCAAAGTAATTGTAGCTTGCTCTGCCCAGATATGTAAGCAGGCAACTAACTGTCAACAAGGAGATACTTCAGTTGGGACTTACAAGTAGTTCTTTGGAGGTAGCCCTTTGCAGAAAGCAGCTCTCTGCAGGGGACCCTTTTTGTCTTCTTACTTCCTTAGCAAAGCTATATTTTAACTAACTGCTGGCCCAAGCACACCTTTCAAATCTTTTGATCACACAATGTCTCACCTAACCTGTCAGTTCTCTTTCTTAGATTAAAGAATTAGAAATGAAAAATAAGTAATTAACAAATGACTAGATCTTTTCCCCAGCTTTCCTTTCAGTAATCTCATGAGCAGACTGAACAAGACAGCATCTAAAGAACGGTCACAAGAAGTGGACAACTCTGCACACAGAGGGAGATGATGCAGAATCTGACCTCCTGCCTTCAGATTACTTCCCTTTTCTACCTTCAAAAACTTTCATGGCCAAGCAGAATCTTTGGAGTTGGTTCTGGGACATGAGTCTGCCCTCTCCCCAGGTTGCTGACCTCCTGTATAAAGCAATCTTTCCATTCCTACCAGCACTTATCTTCTCAAATATTGGCTTTCAAGCCACGAGCAGCCAGACCTGAGTTCAGTAGCGTAAGCATATAGGTATACATAGTTTATTACAATGTTCTAAGAAATATATTACCCTGGTCAACAGGATATATTCTTCTGAAAGTTGTAATGTACTATTTGAATAAACAGTTTATAAAATATGACACAAAACAAACATGACATTATTTTATTCATCCTGCTGGACTAAAGCAATACTAATTGAGGCATTCTTTTAAAAACAAATCTAATGAAGTAAAATACTGACAAAAATTACATGTACTGAACATTCAAACTATTTGAACACTATATACATTGAGGCTCCAACTAAACTTCATTGAAATTTTTCCATATATATATATTCAAGTATTTAGATTTCTTACAAAACTGCATAAAAACTGTAATCCAAAGCAACAGTACAATATGCACATAAAAGACTAAATGCATGTATATCAGACAGCGATTATATGAGGGGACAGAGTGCTGTTCTCCCTCTATTGTCCATTTTTTATAATGTTTTGTTTGAATTTTTAGAAAAGTCTGTATATTTTTAAGCAACAGTCTCTGGCATCTAGAAAGGAATTACAGGGGCAGTGGCCTTTTCTAAAATGACAAACCAACACCCTTGGGCTCACAGTCATACTAAAGCGGATGATATTTCACATTCCTCAGCACACAATGGATCTTTCATCAATACTGGAAACTGCCTTTGTGAGAATATTTGCAAAGAATGGATGGAATTCTCAATGTTGCAAGCACCCATTGAATTATTTAAAAGAACAATGAATGAATGACTAATTAGAAATGTTTCTTGAGCTCAGAGATATTTACAAAAGGAAAGACCTGAATCTAGCATTTTCTCCAGGGCATCAGGAAGAACAGATTAAGTCTATGAACTGTAGGCATGGGTTCCCAAATGCTTTGCCATCAAAACTTTTCCCTCTCCTTGACCAACTAGTGATTTTAAGTCCTAAATGACTCATAAATATTGTTTAACTGCTTGCTTGTTTTTTTTGTTTGTTTATACATACTTTGTTCCACAAAATAAAAACTCAACCAACAATGAAATGGAATCTGATCCTCATGCCTCGTTCACCCCAAGAAGAGGTGCACTTTTGAATGGGCAACTATAAAACTGCATAAAGACAATGTGATATTAAGTTTTAAAAAAGTATGTCTCAAAAGATCATATAAAATGTGATACCCTTTTTATAAGGTTAAAACCAATTAAAAATACACATACTTTGAGAAAATACAAGGAAATAATAAACACCAAAACACCAACTTCAGAATGATGGTTAGTTTAAATGAAGGAAGGCCAAAAGATGGATTAATGAAAAGAAAAATGTGGTTAGATTACCACCAAGGTCTAGCTTTTGTTCTGGGTGGTGGATTTCCAGATGATTATGGTATTATTTTAAGATAGATAGATAGATAGACAGATAAATAGATAAAAATAAACCTAGTATGGAGTAATAATAAAAGTGCATTATAAATCAAGGATTACTGAACCTGAAATGAGATGACGTGAAATGACTTGACATGAAAGGGAATGAAAATAAAAATTGTTCGCAGTATGTAGACTAATAACCAAACTACGATCTCTGCATCAACTCAAAAGTCACTCATCTAAGTTTTACAATTTTCTGCTTCTATTTCTCTGTTTTCAATTGTGCTGCATAAAACAATGTGTTCTCCAATGGATGTAAGACCTTCTACCATCACAGATGGCCCTTCTGCTCAGAGGGTGGTACCCCAGGAAGAAAAAAAGGTAGCACAGAGGAAAATGCCTACTGACTCTGGAATGGAGCTGACAATCCCCACAAGCCTCTCAATGGGCGGTTGGTGGTTCTCATTAATTCACTCAATGCTTATTAAATACCAACTATATGTCAAATATCGTGATAAGCACCGGGATCCTTCAGACTTACGGTTAGGACAGTCCTAACACACACCTGAGTCCAGTCCATCATCTTCCAGACAGCCCCAGAATCAACATATTCCTCCGGTCAAGGAATCGAGATAACTTTCCCAGCCTTTTTTATTTGGCTACTTACCTACACAAGTAAATGCTGAGGCAGCTCACTTATAAAGTGAGGTTACCCTGGCTCCCCCAAATTAAAAGATGTCAAATCTCTATTACAAGAATGGGGAGAAAAAAATGCTTCTTCAACAGAAGAGATTTCATGTAAGTGTATCACTGTTTGTTTTACCTGCTATCTCCAAAAGTGGGTTCATGTGATCTCCTTCTGCTAGCTTCACAAATCCAACCTGATTTCCAAAAGTGTCAACCCCTTCAAAGGGCAAAGTCAAAGGTTTTCCTTGGAGAATTTCTTCTATGAATGGTTTTAAGTCCAAAAGAGCATCAATACCACTGGTAAGAGATAATATATTTTTTAGTAACATATTAATCAATAAAATGTACAAAATCAAATGAGAAGCAAGGTCATCAGTTTTAGAAAGATAAATTAATTTTGATATTTGTACTATTTTAAAGCGCAAAATACCTTTAAAGCTCTAATCTATATGATCAAAATAAAACTAACATTAATTTTGAAACATAATCTATAGAAATGAACAAATCTTTACCTAATTATAATTTATTTTATATTAAAGGCATAAAAGAAGATGCTATTTTATAGTTCACCAAAAAGTTTTCAACCAAGGAAATAATGTATGGACAACTCAAAAAAATTACTTAAAATAGTCCAGAAAAACCTAATACCTACAAGCACTTACATTAAATTATCTGAAAGTTCTACCGTCTTGTTAAAAGTACTAATATTTATATAGTACTAGTATTTGTGAGACACTCTACTAAACCTTATAATACATTATCTCTTTAAGATATTGTAGTCTCTATGATAAGATAATTTATTGTACTCGGGTTCAACCAAAGTACAAATTTATATTTATCAATTACAGCTATGTAAGTTTGATAACAAATTTTTTCTGTTTAGCCTATGTGATTAAAAGGCTATTCTGTATTTCAAATGCTTCATTTTTTTCTTTATAAAAGCAAATGTTTACTATATTAGTGAATTACACATTCTCAGGTTTGGAATATTTTGAAAATTAAGATCCACTATTTCCATGTTGAAGAGGATTTTGGTATAGGTACTTTATGAGGAAAAAAAACTAAAATCTCACTAGAGGGCAGCAATTACTCAAAAAAGAAATAAGAGCATTCTTAACATTATCGGAGAGGGGTTTAAAATATCCTTCTGGGGAACCACCATTAAATTATCTTGATCAGCCATTTGTTCACCAGTAATAATTATATGTCAAATATGTGAAAAACAATGTAGGCATTTTTCTAGATCTTTCATACTTCTAATTAGTTTTTGATAGTTTCTAACTGATTTTCATCCATAGCTCCCATACTATCTCATTTCTCTGTCAAAACAATGTATAATACTTCAGAATAGCTTTGGAAATGTCAACATTTTTCATTGTACCTCCAAATCCACATCCAAAATCCAATCTTTCCTAACTGTATTTATGTTCATCCAAAAAGACATATTGTACACACTTCTACTACAATACCGTCTGTCACTATGTACTGATTTAAAGCATGTGAAAATAGAACAGCCATTTCTGGCTCATCCATCACAAATCAGGAGAATTCAAGAGACTCATTTTAAATGTAACTATATATGAAAGCAGGCCATGCTAATGGTGAGGGTTTTTCAGAGACAATGAGTTCTATATCCTATTTTTCTTTAAAGAGATATAGATGATATAAACTCAGCCCAGCTTTTCAGTTCTTTAGTAACATAAATTAATAAATTTGTCCTAATGAGATGCCATTGGTCACAGAGTGAGAAGGAGGCATAGTGCCTATTGGTAAGTATCACTAACTTTCAAATTCTTTAAAACAGAGTATCTTTTCAAAAACAGTTTATGGAATGACTTCTTTATGGTAAAATGAATAGAGTATAGGCATGTAGGAAACAGAATTCTGAAACTGGAGTTCAGACCCAAAAGCTGTATTTAAAACTCAGGTTGGGAAATATCAGAAGCCTGACCCCTAAAGACATGTGATTCTACTATTTGAAAGAAACAACTACAAGAATCATAATTTGTATATTTTGAGTTACTAATGTATTGTTTTCTTCTTTTTTTTTTCCCCTTTTCCTCAACCCCTTCCCAACCCAAGCCTTGTTCTTCATTCCCTCAGACTGTATGTCAGGGTAGGAAACAGAATTAACCTGCAATCTATTCCGGCTTTGGTTTTCCAAAGAGTTTAAGCCTGAGCTTAATCCAGAGGCTCTACAGGCAGTAACAGGGAAAGGGGCCACCAGACATTCAGACAGAGAATCCCAGGGAACTGGAGGAACAGCAAGGTCTTCCACGCCAGGTCGGAAAGCTACAGTCAATGACTGACATCCGACTTTTATGGCACAACTCTGGATCTGGGGGTGCGGGGTTTACAGGCATTCTGGGAATGAGTGAGGTAAAACGGAAATTGTCCACTAATCTAGCAAATGGCAGATCTAGCAGCTAATAATCTCGAGTGCCCACTGTGTGCTAGGCTCTGTACTAAGCATTTACATGTAGTAGTACTACTATTTTCTCCACTTACTTCAGAAGGAAATGATTTGCTCAAAATCAGGCAGCTGTTAAGAAGTGGTTGTGCCATGGTTTCCAAATCCTTACCTGGAATCCTAACCTAAGCAAGTCAGACTCCAGAGCACTTACATAATTAACATGAGAAAAATAACTGCATAACCAGGGGCTACCATCTGATAACAGTAACAGGGTTTAAAGTATAGATGAGGAAGAATATTTATATAGCCTATTCTGTACACTGACTTATGAGTTGGAATAAATTATAACAAAGAATACATCTTAAGAATTTCAATGCCTCTGTGGGTTCTGCTAAGTTTTACTTACATTAAAGCAGTAACTTGGAAAACAATATTCAAGAAAGATACATTACTCACATGTTTACTTCATCTTCATTTAATAACTGCATCACTAGCAGGGTAATATGAAAGGAACCATCACCGCTCATTGCTTTGGCCAGTCGCTGATCTTGCTGTATTATTGCATTTTGCAGGATCTTAATTCCTTTTGTAATCTAATCACAAACAGACAAAATAGAAATTAGGTAAGCAAAATTTCCTTATGGCAACTTTTAAACCAAGGAGAAAAATAAGCAACTGAAATGAGAACAATCTCAAGATTCTTCAACCAAACAACGCTTAATTGTCTACTAATTCTCAAATATGCTGGAGAGATGACTGGGAAAGCTTAATAGGATATCTAAGTTAAAAAAAAAAAGTCACACAATGCTTGTCCATCTTAAGAACATTAAGACCAACAACCTTATTTTACAGACTGGGTCATCACTGGTTGAGTGCAAAAACTCTCAATAGCCATGTTATCTTTCCAGAAACTTCTCCTTGGAATACACAGTATGACCCACTATAATTATGCTCTTTTCTAAAAATAAAAGTTTTACGCTTGCCACAGAAAGGTTAAACCAGCAGACAACATCCCATTTCCATTGGCAATAATACTCATTTGTCCCCAAGTGAGTGTGTCTCAGAACCCATTCTTCACGGTCCTTAAGATTTTTGAGGACAGCAGTAATTCCAACAGGCATGACTACCATCATTTTCCCAGACATGTGAGGAGGGACATAACCTTGGAGAGACTGCTACAAATAAGTCTAAATGCATGTGTTAGAAAAACCATACAGTCTGCATCCAAGCAAAATCCCTGGACCCTCATCAGCCTTCCTCTCCCCACCTACTCAAGAGACACAAGAAGAGGAATAATGCCTTTTCCCTCCTCCATTTCCAGTTAGAGACAATTCTAATCAACTACTAAATGTGAGTGCATTGAAAAACAGTTTGAATATGAAATAGTAAACTGAGCAATCCCAAAGAAAAGGGTGCACTTAGAAGCCCGGAGGTGGCTGAACTAGAGAGAAAAGGAAAAGATGGGGCTGGCAAGAGGAGTCCCTCAAAAGACAGCAGAGATAAGAAACAGCTGAATCACGAGCACAGCTGACTGTTCTGATACTAGTGGAGCTGTTTTATCCTGAACAATATTCCCATTATCTGCAAAATGTGATTGGGCCAATCATGAGACGCTGTCCTGGGATCTGACTTCCACATATCTTTACAATAAATCCGCATCACCCAAAGTAACCTCAGTGTTCCTGTATTCCTTGCAATCTGGAAGAGAGTAACACAGGAAACAGTGTTTTCCTGGTAGGAGGTTACGTAATAATACCTAACACAATATTTCACAAGGTAAGATGTCACATCCATGATACCCAACAAAAGAATATCGATAGCCTGATAAATAAAATGCTCCTAACGTAATAGTGCACAAAGATCTTATAGAGTCAGTTTCCTCTGCTCTGTATGGATAAAATGAAATTGTGAACTCCCTGAGGGCAACATCTATTTCTTCTACTCTGCTGTCTCACCTCAGTGCCTGGCAATAATCATAAACACAACATTTCAACAACAACAGGAACTAACAACAGGACTTTCTTGTACGGTCACTAGTTTCTAGGCACTACTGTGAGCATTTTCCACGTATTAGTTCAACGAAGCCTCCCATCAATCCTATGAGGTAGGTACTGGTAATTACCACCATTAAAATAAATTAAATATAGAAGATTAAAAACAGCCACAGAACTTGAGAAAAGGATAACGTGCAATACATGAGAAAAGATGAGGGAAACACCTGGAGGAAAAGATCCAGGAGGAGTGAGGAGGAAGAGAAGCAGCCAGAAACCAAGGAGGAAAAGGCACAAGGAATATCTTTTCAAGAGGAGACAAGGAGAGGGGCAGAGATGCGGCTACTGACTCAAGAAATGAAACATCGAGGGGAAGAAGACATTTAAAGGAGATTTTAAGGAAGTCGTACTGGATCCTGTGTAATAGAACATATGAGCCCTCTCAAAAAAGCCTTTAGTGTAAGTCTAATACTACTCTGCGATGATTTTACATTTGAATTTTTGAGAGTTTTTTCCCAGGGGCAAAGAAGTGCTGAGATTGGCTCGCAGGAATAATGAAGCAGCTCAAGGGAGTCCAGGGTCATGTGGGAAGGGCCCAGCCCACTGTCCAGTGAATCATGGGTGCTCAAGAATGTCAGAACTCAAAACAGTATAAGTACATCTTCAAATCTCAGCCGGTAAAAATGGTCATTCTGGCTTAACTGATCATGAAAAAGTGGCTTGCGATGAGAACTTTTTCATACAGAGTGATGCAAATTAAGGGTGCTGGCCTTGCATCAGAAATCCTGGATTTTAACGCCAGGTCTGCTGCAGGTGTAACCCCATACAGGTCACCTAGTCTCACTGAGTCTTGGTTTCTCTAATTATAAAGCATCACCACACGTACAGGGATGTGTTAAAGACCACAGTAGACAAGCTACATGCAAGTTCTACACCATTTGCCTAATATAAGGTATGCAGCACTGCCAAGATTATGAAAATCAGTGGTTCTCTACCCCAAGGGACATTTGTCAATGCCTGGAGACATTTTCACTATCACAATTTGGGGGTTGCACCTGCACTTACTGGGTAGAGTATTTGCATTTTCATAAAAACTCATAGTCTTCATTCTAAGCTCAAATACTAATTATATATAAATTCAGGACACTGCTCAAAAATTTCCATCCAATTGTATACTCATCATTTTAGTGCAATGTCCCACTAACTAGTGCAAAATAGTTTTAGACCATTCGTATCTTTGAATTATCCAGTAGCTTGTAAAATTGCAAATTAAAAACTGTAGAACACTTTGAAGACTGTTTCCCTAAAGGCACACAGTACTTATAACACAAAATTAACCTCAACCTATGAAAATGCTAAAGATAATCTAATCAAGTAATGTATTTCTAACTATGCTTTGATGATCCAGATTAATTTCTATATTCCTTGATACCATCTTTAAATTTTTTAATGCTTTTTTATTCCTAATTACATTCTTAAAAGATAAAAAGAAAAAAGAAAAAAACTTCAGAGTCTTCTCTGTATGCCATTTTAAAAAGTACCAATATCATTAAAGGCCAAAGGAAACGAATTTTTACAGCCACTGTTTAAAATTCTACAAAGCCATTAAAGCTTATCTGTTATCACAATCCCCTGCCACTGGCAGTACTGCACAATGTAGTCTTTTTAAACCTAATATTATAGAGTCATATTTAAATAGGATATTGAAAGAAATTTTTAAAAATAAAAGCTTATTAAAATCTTAAATATTTCATACATTGAGTAATTTCTTTGTATGTAGAGAATAAAAACAGACAGCCATCTGCTAAACCTCACTACTAAGCCATATTTCACATGCCTAAAAATAGCGCAATAAGAAAATCCATTTTTCTATCTTTTAAGCTTCCAAGTTGATTCAAAGCACACATGAGCTCAAAGAAAATACCTTCAAGTCAGTGCGTGAGGCAGAGCAGTTACAGTCTGGCACACAGGAGGAGGATGTCCTTGACTTCATCTTTTGACATTATTTTTGGATTTTCTCCTAAGCTGTTACCATATATTATTCCTTAATTTGCTGCCTCATTAAGATTTAATGGAATTATCACATCAATTTGCTACCTAACTTTTCTACAAAGCTGAATACGCTCATTTTTCTTGCTTCTCCACACCATGAGAAGAACTTGAAAAACTGATGATACAGTGATAATTTGGGAGTAAAGCAGTAAAAAACCATCCTCAAATAGAAGAATTTTCTGTATCCACCAAGTGCTTAACATACATGATGATATCAAGTACTTTCACAATTACATTTCCCAGAAAGGAACAGAATGCACAAATCTACTTCTGTATTTTCATAAGATCATTAATTTCTCACATTACAAAATGATGAAATGCAGAATTAAATGTAATAAATGTCTAACAAGTGCCTTTTAAAACCCCTGAAAAATCACACTTTTCCATCGGTATAAAAAGATTATCTTACAAAAAAAAATTAATACACTCTTAATATAATCAGCTTCTAACTGGTCCCTTGCATTTTTCAGTGATGACTTACCTTATTGCTCATAAGAAAGCATACAAAACCAACATATGGCTAAATCCACCTAGAACTAATAATGAAACAATTCAAGCCAGTTAAGAAATATTTAGGATTTATTATAACATCACTAAATTTTTTTCACCTTTATTTTTATTTTTTTTAATTTTTTTTTTATTGAGTTATAGTCACTTTATTTTTATTTTTAAACTAATATGTGACCTGCAGGTAGTGGACAAGCACATACTTTCATATACTTGCAATTAGGATATTTTTATGCAGTCATTCTAATTCATTTTCTAATTTTATTTCTTAAAAATATGAAAAATCATGCTTTTCCATTAAGAAAGCACACCAAACCAAGAATGTGTTTTAAAATCAAAGACCCACGCAAGTCTGAATACTTTCTTCTTTAAAACTAGGTGCCAACAAATAGAGGCCAAAAGTAGAGCAGCTCATTGTCAGTGTGCTAGCTTCCAAAAGCTTGTTTGCAGGTCATTTAATTGGAACTTGGAATACAGTCTCACACTGAAACAATGTTATAAATGCTGCTCCTTTTCCCAGGCCTTCCCACAAAAGCTCGTAAGTAGTTTAAAAAGAAAATTCACATCGGATACTTTCAAACAAACAAAAAGGTGTTCATACAAAAACTATAAAAAGTATCTCCTAATCTTCTCCCATTCCTACTTCTCCCCCACCCCCGGCCCCATAGTTGTACCTAAGCGTTCGGTGACCCACAAGTGAGTCTTCTTGAGACGGAAACATTAAATTATTTGGTTTCCACATTACTTGAAACTTGTGTTCCCCACTATCACAAGTCACCCCACCCCCCTGGAAAGCAAACTGCTTTGAACCTCTATTATAAAAACCAGCATTTGTGACACTGTATTTATTATTTGTAAGTGTTCTGGTCGGAACTTGGTATGCCAGAAACACATCTTCTGCCCCAAAATGACAGTATTTTGTGTGTGTGTGTGTGCATCGTCTCTTGCCAAGCTCTGTTCTAGGTACTGGGAAAGAGCTGAAAAACTGTGCGGAAGACTAACAAGTGTCAAATTTCAAAGATGAGAAATGACCAAAGGAAAGCCATGAATGTCTTTTTTTTTTTTTCCGAGGGCAGGGATGGGGGGGTTGACCTAGTCAGGGTGGTCACGGGTAGAGAGGTCTGAGCTGTGATTTTGGCATTAACAAAACCAAAAGGAGAGGAAAGAAAATTCCCAGGCAGAGAAGGCTTTCCCTGGGCAGAGGGAACCTGGTAAGTTCAAGGAAGCCCAGGGGTGCTCTGGCAGGAGGAACAAGGACTGAAAGGGAAAAAGCCAGGCCAGGAAAAACCTTGCAGAATATGGCAAAGCCTTTGTCTTTATCCAGGTATCAATGGAGAAATACTGAACTGTATAAATAGGGGACGGGTCCAAATTTGGGCTTAGAAAATGACCATTAATATCTCCATTTTGCAACTGAAGACACTGGAATTACAGAAACTTGGTAACCTGACCTACATCTACAGTGGCATTTGTGGCCTGACTGGTATCCGAACAAGGCCTGGTGGGCTCCAAAGCCTGTACTCTCCCCTAGTTTCTACATGACCTCCCAGGAGTTGAGAAGCAGAAACAAAGGCTACTGCAGCGTACAGAGTGAAAACCAAGGGTTCTCTCCCATGCCCCTCCTCCCATCTTTGTGGCCTGAATCCTGACCTTAGTGGCAGAAGAAAAGAACCCCTCCACCCTCTTTCCTCTCGGGGCCCCCTTCTGCACATGCCCTATCCCACCACGTCACCCCACCCGCCTGTCTTCGCTGGAGGAGCTAAGAGGCCAGCACAGGGCTGGGAGGGGATGGGGCAGGCTCGGAGGGTGACCCAGGACCAGGGGAGCAAAGAGCAAAGGAATGAAGGGAGCAAGAGAAAATGAAGGGCCTAAGCAAAGCAACTGAGAGACGGGCTCACCAAACATCTACTCTCACAGACTCTGGGGTGAACAATCTCCAGGCAAGAAATCAAGGCGTCTCTTCCACCAGAAATCGCATACCCTTGGGGATGTCACCACCTGCTTCATAGGCAGTTTCCTTAGGACCTGTGACTTCCTGCTCTTTTCTAATTCCCATACGTACATGGGATTCTAAGTCTCAGGGAAAACCTGTCCAAGTCGCTTACAAGTGTTTTAATGTACTATATAATTGCCGATTATGTTAAACTTTGTTATCACCTAAACACTTTTAAGGGCTATTTTACTGTTAACTCACCACTACGTACCTGTAAAATCAGAGCCTAATTCTTTACTGTATCAAATTCTAGTATCTTGTTTTGCTCGGTAATACAATTTCTCTTTTTATCTTATCTTTTGTCCCCAACTAAACTGTACCTCGCGGTCTAGATATTTCCTAGAATGTCCCAGTGGAATTTATTTTTTCTTTGATATATATTTGTTTGGTTTCAATTTTGCTTGCTTTGAGTTTTAAAAATTCATTAGCATTCTGTAGAAACACTCTAGTTAAATAAAGGGAGGAGCAACCTGAAAATGTGTCTGGTTAAGAGATCATAGCTCACAATCAAACAGAAATTCAGATCTAGCTCTTAAACTGGGTCATGATGTAAAAACAGTCAGTCTTCAAAGCGAGGTGTGCTTTCCTGAGGCATTTTAATTCACATCTCACTGCTCTAGAAGCCTTAGACACTGCAGTTTTCTCTCTTAGTCACATATCAGGGTTTCTTATTGTGGTCCAGTTTGCTGGTCCCATTTCCTTTCATTGATGCCACATTAATTTTTCAGATTTTTAATAGATGTCTACCAAGTTTATCATGCTATATTAAGTTGGTACAACAATGAGTAATTTTTTAAAAAATGACGTTGCAATAATCATTACCATAAACAGGACCGAACAGCAAGAAATCTGTTTACTTTCCCCACAGAGACTACAGAATTTTCTTTTTTCTACCTGCTCTCTGCTTCCGAAAGACTCCTTCATTATGATAAACAAACACTTAGAAAGGACCTTGACATGGCACCTGGCAACACATTTTCAAGCAGCTCTTGCAAAATTATTGTTTAAATATGACTGTCTAAATATTATTTTTCAAAGTTACCGTTTAAACATATTCTATACTCCTTGTATGGCCCAGCTACAATGCCACCAAAGACTTAAAAACTGAGAGGAAATGGACTTAACAAGCATTTAGTGTACCATAAAGATAATTTAGAATAAAACTTAGCAAAAATAGTTTTTTAAAAAAAATAGCACCTCTTTGCTGGTGATCGGAATGGATAGGAAATAATTGGGTTGGTAATCTTTTCGCTTTTTTCCCCTCTTCTTTATTTGATCTTTATTGATCCGTTCATGTCCTTTACTTCTCTCCAAATTTTTTTGAGGTACATCAGTGACTAGAGAAAGAAAGTCAAACAATAATATGTCTAATGCATTTAAATAAAGATAATATAATCAGAAAAGAATAAGCACTATGTCACAACCATCATTCACAACTGTCACTTTCAAATCTAGAGCAGGAGTTGACAAGCTCTTCTATGAAGGACCTCATAAAAAATATTTTAGGCTTTGCAGATTATATGGTCTTGGTCAAAACTACCCAAGTCTGCCACAGGCAAAACAAGTACAACTGAGTTCCAATAAAACTTTATTTACAAAGCAGATAGCCAGATCTGGCTCTCGAGCCATGGTGCACAAACCTCTGATCTAGAGCATAATTAACAACAATGCAGCAATTCTCATGATGCTACGAAAAATTACTACTTTTATCCATCCTGTATATGCATATGTACAACAAAACCACTCACAGCAGTGCCACTCTAAGTCTGGTTTGTGGCCAGCATCACACTACAAGCTATTTGTTGCAAAACCTGAGAGAATGCTTTACAAACTTTCAGAGCAAATAGGCAAAGTAATATTGTCTGTCAAATCTGTTTCTATTTTGTAGGTCTTTTTCATTAACATCTTTTTGCTAACAATTCCTGTTTTACTGTATCTTACAAAGCATCTGTCAGCAACAAATTAAAAAATTTTTTTAAATGATCCTCGACCATAGATAATACTTGGCATGCTACTTTTTAAAGTCATCTTCGGAAGACAGTTACAACATCCAACAATTCTAATTATGAAGCTATGCCCCCAGAAATCATTTCCAAATCAGTGTGAAATGCCATTGTCTCTTGTACAGATTCTATCAGGGGCTTCCATGTGCATGCAAAATGATCACGAAGTGATTTTTCAGGCTGTGTCTTCTTGAACAGTAGCTTGTAGAGTACCTCACAGAGACTCTGTAAGAATTCAAATATAATTATATTTTCTGAGGTATGATTTTGGAAAGGGGGAGGGAGGGAGGAAGCACCTTACCTTACATGCAATTCTAGATTGGTTTCATCTTTGGGATCAACTCTAACATACCGCAGTGACCACCTGCACATAGTGCCTTGAGAAGGACTCTGAGAAAAGTCTGAGCTCCCAAGAGCACAAGGCCTGTATGCATCCACCTAAACTCCTTATTTTGCATGTGATGAAACAGAAGAGTGGAAAAACTTCTAAAAGCTGCCCCATGTCAGAGTCAAGTCTGGGGTGTCTAGCCCTTTTAACTCTCTCCTGGTGTACTTTCTACTGCATCAAACTGCTTCTCCAACGCAGTTCTAGATAAGTAGTTACAACTACATACAAAACCAAAGGACAGATGGAATTGTCCTTATTTCATTGCTCTTTGAAATAGTAATAGTAAAGAATTTTTAAATGAATGTTGCAAATAATATTCTAATGCTAACTTCTAAGAAAAATAGTAGGAAATGTTTAAAATTTTAAAACTAAGGGTTTGTGGAAATAGACATGCTTTCTTTCTAGGACTAACATGTATCTGTGAGTGAGCCCTCGAAGGAGACCTAGAAGACAGGTAAATTAAGAGCAAGGTCACCTGGGTAACAAGTCTGACTGTATCATTATGGGTTAAGGCAAAATTACCCAGTGTGTTCATGCATTCATTTCTCTACTACATTTCTCAGCAATATGTGTAATGATTAATATGGTTAAAATGGTTTACAGAAACCACATGTTTGAAATATGAATTCTTAGCTTCTTTTATATATGTGACCTTGTCAGAACTTTATACAAAGTTTGTAGCATTCTCGACTGAATTACAAGCATTATTTGAATTGCCTCATATGAGGCCACTGGGTTTTATTTTCCAGGCAACTTTTTTTAATGTGGCAAATCAAATCAGTATGTTGAGCTGCTTATAATTTCAGATATCTAAGCAACAGTCCTACCTTTCACCGTAGTAACATGAGCTAAATGTACTAACTTTAAACAGAAGCCACAAAATATGCTAATGAAGGACCACATATTTTAAATCCACTTCTAAATACATTTCTAGCCCACCTCCATCTGCTATAATTGGCACCCAGGAAATGGAATCCAATTTTAACATAACCTGGAACCAGAGCTTCTAGGCTAGAAACCTGGCTCCTTCACTTACTAGCTATGTGATCTCAAATAAGTCACAAATACTCTCTTCACTTCAGTTTCCTCTTCTATAATTTGAGGATATTAATTACAGCTACCTCACAGGAACATTTTTAAAGACTAAGTTAATACACAAAAGCTCTTAGACTACTTCCTGGTGCAAAGTAAGTACTGTTATTAGCTAATATAATTATTAGATATTACCTAGAGCTAAACATAATTAGGAAAATTTATATCTGTTAAGATCATTTAGGGGAACTTAAAAAGAACCTATTATTTTTCATCATTAAAACCACTTAAATATTTTCAAAAATGAGCAGCAACCCTGAACAGTTTTTTAAAAAATTAAATATGGAGAATGTATATAACTGTCCTTTGAACTACATTAGCTAAAATTTTCTTTTGTTAGGCATCATAAACTGCGCAGAGTTTAAAATTGTCTGATGAGAGCTGGCCAAAAAAAGGAAAGAATCCTGAGTGTATTCACTGACGCAGTACAGTTTAATTTGCCCTTGTAAGTAATGTTTGCCTGTTTTTTTTTTTATTTCAGTGAGTCCTGCTGATTTATGGTCCACTTGTTAAACACTGAACCCAACATCTCTTTTCTCTTGTTTGCGTATCTTCTTCGCCTTTCATTTGTAGGTTTACTTGTCTGGCCAGAGTATAAAAATCTCTTTTTTCCTTACCCAACTTTATTTCTAACTTTTAAATCATACTCTAAGTTCTAAAATACAATTTGCTATTATACTTTTCATTTAGTTCCTGTGAAAATATAATGAGCAGAATATTCAAGTAATACCAAGCTTACAACACAAACATTAAAGATCAATGACCACAGAAGCAAAATGTAGAGAGCTCTGGCCATGTGCCACGGATCTTTCACTGGATTATTTAGAGTAACTTTATTGTTTAGCAAAAAGAACCAAAATTATTTGTTGTAGTAGAGCTTGTAAACCCTTCCCATAAATTTAATCTATTACACTTGTTAATTCTCATAATGATTTCAGGAGCCACTTAAGTGTGCTCTAATGAAACTGGTCTTGTTGACAAAGGCTGTAACTCTCTCATACATGCATCGGATTTTTTACCTAAAGCACCACAAATGTCATTTTATTAAATTATCTAATTTCCCTAACGTTTTATTTATTCCCTCAAAAAACTACAAGAGAATAAACTACGGGAGAAATTAACTTAATGAGGTTGTCCATCTGTTATTGCTGGGTGATTGTTTTCACTCGCTGTCAGCCAAAAGGCTGCGCGTGAACTAGATTTTGTTTTGATATTCTTTTCCTTCTTTCCTATTACTTAAGTGGTCAAAATCTTTAAAGTAACCATTCTTCAAACTTCTTAAGTAAACAGCTTAGAATATTACCTTCTATATTTCACAGAATTACTCTCTGAATCATCTTCAGAAAATTACTAACTCTTCCTAAAAAAAATAATTCTACTGCTCTCATCTTCCACGAGGATTAAGTGATGAACTATAAGGCACTCAATGATGTACTGGAAGCATTCAATGACATTACTATAAAATACTGCTCTTAAGGGGCAATTTTTATATATATTTAATTCAGCAAATACATTTGGACAGAAAATTTTGGTGAGGTTAAATTAATAAAATTTACAAAGGCTAGTTCTGTGCCACCCACTGTTGTAAGGACTTTAGCAAGGAGTGGAATCCTCCCAACAATTTTACGAGACAGCCGCCATGATTGTGCCAACATCAGAGATAATACAAGTGAGCCTAGACGCTTGCTCAAAGTACACAGTAAGAAAGTGTAGGAGCAAATTTTGAAACTTGACAGCCTGACTTCACAGCTCTCACTTCTAACCACCTGAGTTTAACTCTATTAGTGATCTCTTAGCAGACAGCATCAAGGAAAAAATGAGTTTACCTAGCTCTCTGTTTACTAAATCAATGAAGGTTACATCTTTAAAAGCAAGTTTCTAACCATAATTCAAAATGTTAATCGCATTTTTTCAAGAAAAGAATCAAGACCATTCATAAAATTTGAAGATTAAAGAAAGGAACAAAAAAATGCTCAGAAACTTACTATCTTAACACAATCACTATTAATTTTGGCGACAAATCACATGAAGTATTACACAGTTGTAAACCAACCGCATATACAATTTCCCCTACTTTTTTACCTCGCATTTTATACAGGAAATGTTCCCTATGACAGTTTTCAGAAATATTATTTTTATAACATGTAACTCCATTAACATGTAATCTAAAGGCACTAGTATAGCTTACTCAACTACTCTCTAATGGACATCTGGGGTTCCCCCCAATATTTTTACTACTCAAAAACACTGTGACACACATTTATGAATAAAGCTTCTCTCCACAAGTAAGACTATGTCCTTATATTGGGAATTCCATGAGTGGCTCTACCCCAGGTATGAACATTGCTGAAGATTCCAACAAACTCCTTTCTAAAAGGACTATGACAATACATTGTTAGAAGCAATGGAGATATGACATCAAAATCATTGAGCATTATTTATAAAAAATGTTGCCAATCTGATGTTACAATCATATTTTAATGTTCATCCTTTGATATTTATAAAGTTACATAACTTCCCATGTATCTGTTTTCTAACTAGATTTTATCTTTTACATCCTTTGCCTTGCACCAATTATTTTTTATTATTTGGGATAAATATTTGACTTAAGTGCTTCCATAATAAAATTTAGAATATGCATTACAGGCTTCCCCAATTAATTACAGAGAGGAAACAGAACACAATTTATCCTTTTTTAAAAATTAACTCAGGATAATCACTTACTATACCAAGTACTGAGATCATCTTTTTTTAAAAAAAATTTTTTTTAGGTAATGTAAGTTTAAATCAGCATTTTAAAATACTTAAGAGTTGAAGTATTTTTTAAAATACAACTTAATAGTATTAGTAAGTAAGTAACAAAATGATAATTTCCTGCATCTCTAAAATCTGTAATAATTATAAGGTAAGCATTAGAATTCTGTGTAAGTTAAAATGAAGATTATAATAATTTCAACAGAAGAACTGATTTCCAGTTTTGAGAAGAGACTATTTACTAGAATTTTTTTAACCTTTTTTACTAGACCCTTCCTAAATAAATATCTTTCCTAAGTCTAGGAAAGACATGTGACCCCCCCCTAAAAAAAAACCCTGACTATTTTATTTTGAACCTTGACCTAAGTGTGGTTTCATAGGTAAGGACTGTGATTCTCAAAAGAGAGCAAAATCCATCAAACTAAAGCTCTCCACAAACCTGCACTCTCTGTGGGAAGCACCCTAAGCCCTTCCTATCAGCAGCAGAACGACTCTCCTCTGCAGGCTGCCACTCAGCTTTCAGAGGCAGGGCTCACAGCAACCTCCAACATCTGCTGGATGGTTTACTGGGTTTCTAACCAACTGACTAACGATGCTTCCCCTTGTGAGCAGGTCCAGCTGAACAACTCACTAATGCTGGATTCTCTCCCAGAAAACACCCAACCTATAGACCCAGAGGTGTGGCTCAGTTTGTACTGCTTCCTCAACGTTTCTAAAAGACTTCCTTTTTACATACATTCAGATATTTTATTTCTTATTTATTTATTTATATGCTAATACACTTCATTCTAATATATTTTCCATCAAATTCTAACATAATATTCTAATACATATTCCAACATTTAATTCTAGTATATGGTCTCTTCTCAAAAACAAAACTAACCAAAAAATGTCAAGACCCATTTCCACCAACCAGACCACATGACACCTAATCATGACACTGCACTGACTAGTTGACAATTGAGACACTCTGAGCCAAATGTTTAAGGAGTTTTCTTACTGGCAAGGATTCCCCTTCCCACCATGTTCCTGTCAGCACTACTTCCCTTATTGCTCTGCCAGAGTTTCTATCAGCAAGAATTTCTTGGCAGTTAACTCACAATTTCCACCCACCAAAGGAAACGGAAAGAACTAAAGGCAATAACCAGCTACTTGAGAATGTCAAGGTTGCTGTCTACCACAGAACCATTCGATTGATTTAATTTCCATGTTACTCAATGGAGGAGAAAGCCATGTTAAGTGCATTCAAGCCACAATTGGATGATCCTATGCCTTAGACAGATAGATATTATCATATCTATCTTAAGGTTTAACAGTTGACAACAAAGATCCAGTTCTTGCACATGTTCTATAAAAATCTTACGTTGCAAAAACTAGTGCATAGTTTCTGATTTGCAAAGGATTTAACTTTTGTTGGCCCAGATAACTAAGGGATCAGTTTCACAGGTTTTACAAGTAGCACTTGTACCACTTACACACATTGCCTCTTCTGATCTGTGCGGCAACACTACGAGGTAAGCAGGAGGGGATTGTCTACATTTCACAGTCGGAGAAGCCCAGCTCACACGGTTAAGTGTCCCAGGTCCCACAAGTAGAAAATGAAATAGTCAAAACTTAAAATACAAGTTTTCTATTTCTCTCATCCTACCAAACGAAGTGTAAGCTGGAGCTTAGAATCTGAAATCGATCTTTCCACAAAAGTAATATACACAATGGTTTGGAGTCTAGATTAACACACAAAGACTTTAGTTCCAAAGTCTGAACTATCAAAAAGCAGTATAGTACTATATAGGTAAAAAATGGACTTCTGTGGACTGACCTGAGCCCCAAACCTACACGGAATACAGCATTTCTTTAGTAAGAAATAAACCACATACTACAGAGAAAAGATCCCTATTCATATGAAGGATTGGCCTAACATCCCAAAGGCCTTCCTCTGAAAAAGCAGCTGTACCTTTCAGAGCAGGAATGGACTGCAGAACCACAGACAACACCCCTCTCCTTCTTTCTGGCCCCAGTGGTCACTGTTTCTCCTCTCCAGTAGAGATACAAGGACATAGAAACTAAGAAAATACTTTCTCTTGGCATTCTGGTGGTATCTCACTCTCATCCCTAGTAGAAGCCATTTGTTCATCTATATTGGATATGGGTAGGATATGTGTAAGTCTGAAGCACCTATCGCTGGAACTGTGAGCAAGCTTCATCTCTCATTCCAGTCCAACTTAAGATCACTCCCATGGGAGTGATTCAGAGACTGGGACAGCGACCAGAGGGAAGAAGTGTGGATGGGCAATGCCCACTACAGACACGTAGGCATTAGTATCCAGAGTTTTTAATTATTTTATATCCAAATTAGGGACAGTAATGAAATCAGAAAGAAGTGATTACACTTTTAGGTATACACATCTTATCTGCTAAAAAGTAAGGAATTAAGAGGAAAGCATAATTCAATCCTCACTATTCTTGCCTCTCATAACTAAAAGGCGTCTTCTATTTGAAAAGTATGCTAATTTTGAAATGAAGGTTTCTCTAATGCCTCTGAAACTCACAAAAGCTGTTCTTGTCTACAGGCCAGCTGCCAAAGAAAAGATGGGAAACCCCTGCCCTGACTCAGCAAACACCTCTTCTTTCCTTTTCCCCTTGGATTATGGATTGGGGAAAACTGATTAGAAAGATACCCAGAGAGTGAGTACATTTTAAGCATCTCTCTCCTTACATCTCCCCAAAATATAAATCAAGTCTGCTGTATTGCAAGACAGTGTGATAGAAAGCAGTGTGTTTCCTGAGACCAGCTGAGTATCAAAATCACCTGGGATGTTTAAAAAAAGAGAAAAAGATTCCCTGGACTGACACAAAGGTAGGAAGGGGACTCTGTACTTTTGTATCACTCCACAGAAAATTCTGATGATCAGTTAAGCTCAAGGACAGCAGGTGCAGAGAAAAGAACCCTGGGCAGTTCATATCGATTCACCAAGCCTCTACTCTTGCCAAACCTCTAGGAAACCTTCCAGGACACCCTCTACCCTACATCCAGGATAGATGTCTCGGCCCACACATCCCCGCCCCATGGACTCCCACAGCATCCTCTACAGCACTCCTCTTATGGGATTACAGCTGTTAATGTACTGACTCCCCAGTGAAGCTGTGAGTTTCTTGACAGTCATGTGTTTCAATACTGTCCTGTGTCTCAGTTGTCCCAATATCTGGCACCAGTACCTGGTATTTGTCAGGCATCCAATAAATGTTCATCAAAGAGATGACTAACAAATCAGAAACCACGAATTCTGTAACTAGCTCTTTTCAACCGTGTGAAATTACTCAGTTTACTTCAGTTCTCTGAGTCTTATTTGCTCTTCTCAAAAATGAAGAGACAGAACAAGATAACTTCTCATGGTGCCTCCAGTTACAGAACCCCAGTCAAGATAAAACTGTATCAAATGATAGCAAAGTTCTATGTAAGGGCACGAACAGTGAGTGGCACAGTCAATAAATATTTGTGGAAGACACTGTCGCTTTTCCTTATTTTCCTATTCATAAGTAACCTGGGTAACAGGCAAGTCTGTCACATTTTCAGGGGAAGCAGCCCCAGGTAGCATGTACAGTATTGTTTTCACAATGACAAGAAATTCAGATTTAGATATTTATGTAGTTCCAGCAGTATTTCAATCAAGTAAGCACTGGTTCTGTGAAGTTTGTGGATGGAGCTCTCAAGCACTGGCTCGATCTAATAAACACATAACTGACTAGAAGTTTAACTGTTTTCAACACTGGTCTGTTAAGCTCCCTGAGAGCAGGGATAACATCTCTCTTGCTCACTGGTGACCCTCCCAATGCCTAGCAGAGAGCCTGGCTCACATCAAATGGCCAGTAAACATCTGTTAGATGAATGGGTACCACTGAAGCTAGCAGTGGTTCCAGAATAACTAAGGTGGTTATAAACCATGGAATGTTCTGGCCCCTTATTTTCTGAAGTACTTACAAACTACAGAATGATCTGGCCCAAAACTTGAGACATGTCTTAATATTATCTGTGACAGTTTTGACAACAGATTATCAATAGACAATTATTAATGAACAACCCAAAATTAAAACATGACAAGTACTTAAGGTGAACTAATATATTAAGAAAAATATATATATACATATCACTAAATTTACTATTCATTGCTTCCAAATATTTATTTAATAAAGTACTTACTTCCAAAATCATCTTTAATATCTATAGTAGCAAATGGCAAATCTACCAGAGAATCCACAGTGTTGGCTTCCAATTCTTCTGATGGCTCCTTCTTTTTTGACACATTTTCACCCTCATTGGAATTTATTCCTCCTTTAACATCACAAAAAGAAAAGTACATTATTAATTTTTAACTCCTACCCTATACTAAAACAACTCAACTGAATTCAATATAAATTAACATTTGTTAAGAAATAGTAAAACTGG